ATCAAATCATGAAATATTGCACATTGTATTGAGGCTGATACTAGTGTCTTTAATCCTGCATTGTCCAGTCTTATGGGCATAATTAAAGTACAACATTAATACTGGACTTACATTTTTTCAAATTATAGTAAAAGTCATTTTGGGGATGTTAACTAAAGAAAGAATAGACAATTTTTACATCATAGGTGATTATCTGTAGCCAGTATTAAAATCTTGAAAACATTTGGCTCAAAAATAAAAATGTGACTTAGGTCCTTTGACTGATTTGCTTAAACATTGGTGAACTAAAATTTGACAATTACTTGCAGCTATTTACTCATTCGAGTATGTAAAACATACAGTTGTTTCTGGCTCCCAGTCAGCAAAATTACATTTTTAGTTAAAAATTTATTTTCTTCTCTAGTGCCATATCTAACACTATTTCTTGCTCTCTTTAAAATATGCTTTTAAAACAAAACTCTCAGAAACATAAATTTTTCATCACTAAATTTTTAGTCACATCTACCTGCAACTTGAATATTAAATTTTGTTGTTAAACTTACGTATTTTGATTTTTCCAGAATGACTTTAACCATTCATATCTGTATATATTTGCAATCTAATGCAATCAACATTCTCCAGTTGTTACACCAGTTGATAGACAAAATCCACTACTATAACTCTTTTCTATTTATTTTCTGCTCAAAGTTATTTAAATATGCTGTAAAAATGGCGTCAAGGTAATGCTAAACAATAAAATTTAAATGGAAAAGCACAAAATCACAATATCATACAAGTTACTACAGTTTAGGAACCTAATTATAATGTTACAGCTTGATGTTATTTTATATAAAAATGTCTTGAACAATATATGTTATTATGTTGAGAATTCCAGCACTGATTTTAGTGATAATTTCTGAGATGCATTCTCACCTAAATAAATAAATAAATAAAGCTGGGTTCTTAAATGTTTTAAAAATCATTGATTCCCAGTGATGATTTCAAGGAACATTCTTGGCAGTGTCCAGATACTTCTCCTATACATATCTCACAAGAGGAAAAGACCACCACCCATCTATGCTCGTGGTCTACACATATTAATTTAAAACCACAAACATCTAAAAATATACCTTGAGGTTTATCCACAGTTCTCCAAGGTTTTTTTTTTTTTTTTCACCGAATTAGAAGAACTTGACGATAGGCAATCACCATGCTTATCAAAATGCAAGAAATTAGCAGAGTGTCACTAAAAAGATGTTTTGAAAAGCAGCTTTCAGAAAGCAAGGAATCCCTGGTTTGCTTTCTTAGAATAAAAGATTCTATCTCGGATGAGACATCTTTGCTTTTTACAAATGGGTGAAAATGATGACAAAATTAAAGCTTCCAGATATTATTAAATCTGCCTGTAGTGTCTGACAAAGAAATGTTTAATCCTTCCCTTCTATCACAAATTATTTGAGAAATCAGGAATTCATCAAAAGAGCTGCCAATTTAATGAAATGTACTAATGAAATTGTTCTGTGAGTATGAAGTTGAATTGCATGCTTTTGTTTAATTGGCTATAATTTCATGAGTGAATTTCAAAAGAAAATGCAAATCAAAATTCATCATTGTAGTTATTCAATATTGGAAGTCACTATACATTTTAGTATTTTTAGAAATAAAACTACTACTTTAATTAAAACATGTGATATTCTTTGACAGTTTTCTACCTTAGGGTAGATAAGCTTGTTTTATTTGTGTAGATAAAAACAATTACTTATAAGTTTAAAAAATAAGTATTCCTTATGTTAGGATAAAATTGTTTATTAAAAAGATACATGTATTAGTGCCTACCTCCATACTACACAAACTTTTCTATATTTTATCTAAAAATGCTGTCAGGTAAATTAAGCCTGGATAGTATTTTCAAAAAGATTAAATAGACATATTGAGTTAAATGCCACAGATTCTTTCCTTTCATATCCTGTATTTTAAATAATTATTGGTAGACTACTGGTATACCCTATGAAAAAAGAAATAGCCAAATTTCCATTTTTTCAAGTTTGAATGCTGAAGATTTATATTTGGATGAGTTGATGGACATTTTGGTTCCAGTGTATTTCTGCACATACCAGAAGCAAGAATACCATAAAATGGCACTTGTGTTTACAGAGAGGATTACTAAACTACGTTTAGCTGTTACGTTTCATATCTGAGGTAGTTCCTTAGGTACTAGGAAGAAAATGTGACCTCAGATAAAGTTATGATGTTATACAAAACTGACTTTAAGACCTTCTCATCGCACTTTAAGACCTTTAACTTTTTTCCCACTGGAGGCAGTGTACCTTCAACCTCCAGATCCTGGTACCTTGAGATTTTGTCCATCTTTTGTACCAAAATCTATAATTTATAAAAATTTTGACTAGTTTTCATTATGCTTTCAAGTGTCTTTGCATTTTAGCATAAGCCAGATCTTTAAGATTAATGCAGAATTCTGTAATGGTTCAATTTCAGGTCTTCGAAACAGGCTTCAGGGAGATTTGGTGGTGGTGTGGCATGTGAGAGGTATCCATTTTCCTTACTCCTAAGATCTTGTTTTAGCCACTAGAAAGTATTTAATTAACACCAATACTCTTTGCTCTGCTCTGTAAAAAGGCAACAACTGAAGCAATTCTCAAAATGTTAGAAGCCATCTCCCCTCCCCCAACCAATAGTATTATTTATCTATTGGTGGTTGACTTTGGCCAATAGATTTTAGGTAAAGCAAATTCAGCTGAAATGACAAATTTACAAAATGTCAATATATATAGCACTTATATAATGCTGATTTCCTCTTTTTCAGATTTCAGCATTTTGAAAAAGTAAATTTACAAATACACGCAACATAGCTGAATAAGCAATGAGGAATACAAATAATTAGTGATCTGATGAGGCACATTTCTCAGAATTTGGAATGGATCTAGAAATAGTCCCTTAAGAGTAAGGCACTTACAGTGTAAGGAATGGTATGAGGTAATTTTTAAAATTAAAATCCTTTTACTCTAGGTCTGAATACATACATCAAATGTATAAGTAACAAAAAAGTTGATCTTTCAATTATTTCAGCATTTTATATAAAAATGATTCTTAATTGGGTACTACCATTACCTTAACTCTCCACTTCAGTGTGCATAAAATAATATAACAGGGGAATAGATTATAAATGCCTGTGCTAGAGATACTCCCTCAGAGTGCATGGAGCAACAAGAAACTAGAATATATTTGGTGTTTAATGTGAAATATGAGGGACTAAAGAAGAGTTATTAAATTTCACCTCACATATACAGAGAAGAAAACCTAATGGCTGAAAGTTCAAGCCTCTTTTTCAGGGTTCCCACACCTTACACTTTGAAGGATCTTTGGGGAAGACATGGCAATAGGAAACTCCAGAGGGGAACACCAAAGCAAATTACAATGCAGTGAGAAAAAAAATGATGTAATGGGAAAGTCTGATCTACTCATCTATGACTTAGATAATGAGGCTAATACTGACCTCTGAACTGTAATGATCATCAAATATCTTTGATAATAAACATATATGCAAGTCAAATGGATTTGGACATATTAATACAGTTTTACATATATTAATTTGAAAAATAGACTCATATTAAAATTTTAAAGGCCTTAATGTTGACATATATATGCATTTTTGCATTACTTAAGTATAATGCCAACAGCCAGTAAGTAGTAATGTTTTAAACAATGAGAAATCGTCATAATCTATAAAGCCATTCATGTATAACAAAGAATTTGATTCTTAGGAAAAAAAATCTGTGAATAACAAAAGGTACTAACATAGAGCTCAATAACAATTTACATAGCCATGAAAACAATGCATTTCATATACTGCTTTCCTTTATAATATGACAACGGGTCATATTACAGTTCAATGGGCAATCTAATTTTTTTTAAATTAACTTCTAAGAGAAGGTAACAGTCTGTTATTTAAAAATGTAAGTTTTGTAAAGGACAAAAATTTCCTAAGTTTAAAGATTATATCCTGACTGAAATAGAAGAAAATGCATTATATTCTTGCCTTTCACCAATAAGAATCATATTTTTATGACTTTCAAGATAACTGTTAATAAATATGTTATCAATGTTAAGAGTAATGTTTCCTGCTGAAGAGTGATGTTTCACGCTGAAGAAAAATGCAAAAATTCTAATGCAACAATTTCCCTATTTAATGCCACCTTACGTGGTGGAAAGAGAAAAATGATCAGTCACGAGGAATGTACACGGTACATTTTTTTTAAGAGATGGAGTCTCTGTTTCCCAGGCTGGAGTGCAGTAGCATGATCATAGCTCACTGCAGCCTCAAACTCCTGGGCTCACGTGATCCTCCCACCTCAGCCGCCCAAGTAGCTGGGACTACAGGCACATACCACCATGCCCGGCTAATTTTTAAATTTTTTGTAGAGTGGGGGTTTTGCTATGTTGCCCAGCCTGGTCTTGAACTCCTGGCCTCAAGCGATTCACCCACCTCAGCCTCCAAAAGTGCTGGGGTTACAGATGTGAGCCACTGTGCCTAGCTTGTACTAGATACATTTTAATTACTAATATAAAATTTCATTTTCCTACTATTTATAAATTACTATTATTATTTTATGAATTGATTTCAAAAAAATTCTATAAGCTATCAATTAGCTTCTAAAAGAATATGTGGGTATAACATAAAATAGATCACATTATAAAAACGAAACATCTCATTTTCATTCTATCAATATTTCGGCATGAAATAAATTGTGACCTTTTGGAATTATGCTTTAAATGTTTACAAATTAAGGCAGAGTTGTTTTTCATTTGGGTTTTAGATACTCTCAGATTTCATCACAATTAAGCCTATTAGAATAGCTGTGAAGAGATCATTTCACAAACAACTTTTCAAAAGCATACAAGATTAATCCATATGCTGCTGAGATGAGGCACAATAAAGAAGCATTACTGAGATAATCTATGGCTAAAATGATGGTGTATGACTTATGATTAAGCTTCATTACCTGCAGAGCAAGGGGCTTCCATCTCATATTTTTCAGTAAAGCTGGTGCTGAGGTAAGCATGCTCTGAGGTCGCTTTTTCAAAGTTAAGATAACACCACTCGGGTCCTCTCGTAGTGCATTCACCAAATTTTTCAACTGCCACCCCACCTGGTAACCAGCAAAATCATTACAATAAAATTGAGGTACAGTATTCAAAGATTTAATGTTCTCCCCCTTTAATAAGATTAGTTAAAAAATCACATAATTGGTGTACCATCCTATCAATTTTCAGGAGATACATACTCAATAAAGAAATTTTATCTTTGAATTGATTAACCATGTTATTGCATTAGTCCATATCATTATGAGACAACATAATGGACATTTACCATGTCAAAGCAAAGACTGAAATGGTATCCTACCAATGGAGTAATTCAGAATGTAACAAAATTATGTCACCATTAGTGTTGCTCAGCTGCTAGGTCTAGATCCAAGCTCTGTTCACAAGTACGATTTAAAAACCTACATGCCTGAATACAAGGATTTGGCAATGTCCTGAGCTTATAAACTAAACCACATGCTTTCTCATCACCATCTTTTAGAGATAAGTGGTACAAGTGTCTCTAAATTAGACAGATATTTTACTACCAATAGCTGGTACTGACACACCAAGGCAACATTTTTATGCATGGACAATAGCAGCAATACAAAAAACCTTTTACCATGCTATAAAGACAGAACAAAAATAACAAGGTAATACTACTCCAATGGAGCAGCTATTGGAAATGTATTCCAAACAACCCTATAAACTTAAAATATAATGTGCTAAATTTAATGTAGCCATTCTATTTGATTATCACCTAAAAACATATTGTGTAATTAAACCAAAGTACTTGACAAATGTCTTGAAATCTGGCTCAACTATTACCCCTGTTAAATTACTTCACTCTGCATCCTTTTAAAATTCTGAACACAGAATAATTTTTGTTACTTTCCTTTCAAAATGGACTAGTGATGCAGTACCAGGCAACTGAAATCCTAGAAACTACGCTTTAAAGAAACACATTAAAATATCTATTATTCCAAAGTTTTTTTTAAGAAAGCATTTCACATTTAAAAGAACTTTTTATCCCAAACTCTAATGAATTATATTTTTCCAGGATGTGTTATATAAATACGCTAGGTCAAAATTTATCCTTTATTGCATGTAGGATTTAGCAAATGGTCTGAAAAGTGACACAGTTTCTTCCTAGGCATCCAAGTTAAAGAGAACTGGTGCCTTTTGTCTAATCATCATCATGTTTTTGCCTGGAAGATATCTGTTAAGCTGGAGAGAATGAGCAGTTCCACCGAAAGCAGCACACACCCCTAGTCTATGAAGAAGAGGTAATCTGGAATGCAGCTATTATAGAATAATAGGGACTTTGGTATATTTAATAAGCATTCATCTAAATTATAACCTCAACTATAGCTGAACTGAGTGTTGGTGAAATTAGAACAAACAAGAAGTGAGATGTTATAATGCTTAAAATCTCAGGGGGTCTCAGATATATATCAAAATGATCATTATGACACTTGGATAACCTGAATGAAAAAAAAAATCACGTTAATGTAGATCAACCACAGTAATGGAACTAGTCAAGTGCCTCACCTTACATGTAAGTGGGGGCTGTTATGTGCCCAAAGGTGTATTACATTGATTCTGATTCATCTGATAGCTATGTAGTATCCCTACAGCCAAGAATCAAAGCAAAGGGAGTACAAATCCAAGGGTTCACTTTGCTTGCCCAAAAAAATATGAACGCACATTTTGAATTACAAGTTTGGAGGGAGAAAAACATACTACTTATAAGTAGAGTTTAGGAATAACTTATTACTGATAGCCACATTTTATTATTTACTTTATTCACTTAAATAATTGCTAACTATACTAAAGTGGTCAATTTCATGGCCATAATCTGTCTTCCAGCGTGTTTTTCTCAATGATCAACACGTTGATTTCTACCCATCAATTTCTTTTCATTTTACTTATTATAAAATTTGAATATGTTTAAGGTTACATGGTATTTTCCTGTGAAATTTTCAGTGCAATTTGATTCATCCTATTCTTTTACACTTTCTACATGCTCTTTTAAAGTAACAATTCCAAAAAATAGAATTGCTTTTCTATCAGAAAGTAGAATTAGTTTCTGACAAGAAAATTCATTTGGGTGCATTTTAATTTTACAGCTGAATGTTATTTAATGGCAGAAAATTTGGGTATCTAATTTTACTACTTTAAAATAATAATTATTGACATAATATTAACAATGTTTTAAAGAAAAGCAAAGAAACATACATCAAGACTGTATTGTATATGTCTTTGGCTCCCAAATTCTACTTCCACTACTATAAGGAAATGATTGGATAAAAGTATCCAAATAAATGTGCAACATATATGTCACAGTATTGTTTAAATCAACCAAAAACTGTACATTATGTAAATGTATCCATCAGTAAGGGATATAAAAATTGCTGTGTGGAAAAAGTGAGTTCCAAAATAGCAGATATAATTTAATTTTTGTTAAAGAATGTATATAAATATAGGAAACAACATTAACGGTGGTTATATTAAAGGGAGTAAGGACTTGCAATACATACTTTCTTCTTTATACCTTTATTTCCTAAACTTTTGGCAATAAGCACAAGTTATTCTTCTAAACAAGCAAATAAAACCAACAAAATACATGAACCTAGTCTATGAATAGCAATATTCAAATTAGAAATAATAAATTTTATAAATTACCTAATCAGGACTGTTTGTTATGGATGGAAAATTCCCACCAAAATTGCAGAACCAGAAAGACAACACTACTATTTTAAACACTAAAAGGTGATGACGGAGAAATAAAAATCTGTTCTATGCATTATACCTTGATGACTGGCAAGAGAGAATACAAATTCATTATTCGGTTGTACTCAATAAGTCAAGAACTATACTAACCACTGATTTTTGATTCAGTGAATTATCTCAGTAGATACTCCACTTAAGCATCAAGTCAGTTTCACTTAGAAACTATTAAATGGGAATGAGGCCCACTGAGTAATTTACAGTCTGTGTAACATTTTTCTTTATAACATATGTAGGTTTTAGCTATATCAGTTCTTAGTACTTGTATACACATAAACAGCAACTAGAGCTGCGACTTTCTCATTTGAATAGTCCTTTTTTTGTTTAGTCCTTTATCAGGCTCCTTAATTTGGATCATTTCTATCTTTTTGTCTACATATAGCTCTTAACACTTTTCCCCCATTTACTGGTTTTGGTCATGTTCTACTAGAAGTAAATATGACATCATGCTAGAGCTCTAGTAAAAATAATTCCAAGCTATCATCCTGTGATATTCCAACATACCTTCAGCCATAGAAAATATGTAAATATGTGTTAATCATTTTTCTTTTTTTTTTTGAGATGGAGTTTCACTCTTGATGCCCAGGCTGGAGTGCAATGGCGCGATCGCAGCTCACTGCAACTTCCGCCTCCTGAGTACAAGCAATTCTCCTGTCTCAGCCTCCTGAATAGCTGGGATTACGGGCAGGCACCACCACACCCAGCAAATTTTGTATTTTCAATAGAGACGGGGTTTCTCCATGTTGGTCAGTCTGGTCTCAAACTCCTGACCTCAGGTGATCCACCTGCCTTGGCTTCCCAAAGTGCTGGGATTACAGGCGTCAGCCACTGTGTCCAGCCGTTAATCATTTTTCTAGGTTAGTTTGCCCTTTCTTCATTTTAAGTTTCTGGTTACAGTTTAAAAATATACAGTGTGTGCAGCTTAAATTAGAAACCATGTAAAGATATAACAGTAATATATAGAATGGTTGTAAAGTACTCTCCACTCTCCACTGGCTGCAATGAATGTATGTACTAGGCAGTAGAAAGAGTTTTGAAAGAAGAAGTAGAGGCCCTAGTGGTTACTAATATGAGTGTAAGCTGCTAATATGGGAGGAAATTAAATAAGGTGCAAAATTTAAAGAAAAACTTTTCATTTTTGGAGACAGGGCTTTATTCTGTTGCCCAGGCTGGAGTGCAGTGGCACCACCATGGCTCACTGCAGCTTTGACCTCCCAGGCTCAAGCAATCTTCCCACCTCAGTCTGCAGAGTAGCTGGAACTACAGGTATACATTACTGTGACTGGCTAATTTTTATTTTTATCGAGATGGGGGGTCTCACTATGTTGCCAGGGCTGGGCTCTAACTCCTGGGTTCAAGCAATCTTTCTATCTTGGACTCCCAAAGTGCTGGGATTATAGGCATGAGCCACCTCATCCAGAGAAGAAAAATATTCTAATAGTCAAAGATATCCAAAAAAGAAATTGGCTGACTTGTGAAATAGACCAATATCAAGAGATGTTTCAATATCTTGCATAGGCCAAATGATTAGATAACTTTCAGTCACAAGACATTCCAAGTCTAAAACACAGAGTGGATAGGGACATGAATATAGATGATAAAGATTAGCTTGAGTAAAATAACATGGTCATGTTACATCTCTGCCTATCTGTCTTCCATCTTTTCTTCCTCTTCCCTGCCAAAAAGTGTACCTGTTTCTTCTAGGCTAAGTGTTACACACCTTTTCAATATTTCATGCTGTCTTCTTACAATAATCTCTTCTCTTTCAAAAGCTTTCACTAACAACTTCCTTCAGGATTCCCAAATCTTTCTACCGTTCCTGCCTCCTATCAATAACTCTAGTCATATTCTCTACTGTTTAGCTCATCCACGTTAATAGCTACTGAATAATTGCAAGCATCAACAATTCACTGTGCTAGATTCTTCACATCTATGTTATATTCTTATTATTTGTATTTTCATTCTTACAAAAGACTAATGAGATAAACTATTAAGTCCAATTTACATGTGTAGAAACTGAAGCAAAAAGAGATTGTTTTCTCTGCCAAGATTACAAAAATAGTAAGTAGTGAAGCCAGAACTTACATTAACGTCTTTTCAATTCTAAAGCACAGTATCTTCCCTGGAATATCCACTGGGAGCTCACATGAACGGAATAGTTTAAAAATCAAACTCATTGTCTCTTTACTTTCATTCACCAGAAAACAAAGTTCCCTATCGTCCTCTAAAGTTTGGAGTTTGGAATCACCTATGACTTTTCTCTTCTTTTTAATCCATG